TATATATATATTTATAATTATTGCTACTTCATGAATATCGAAGGGGGGAAATAATTTTAATTCCATATATAATCTTAATAATAAAATAAAAACTTTTATTATTGCTAATGTTATGTTTGGAACTTGAAGCAGGGTGCATTCATTTTAAATTAAATTGAATAAACATGTATTCGAGGAGCTTTTTGGCTTGTTGTAAATATTTTTCCATTAGTCGGAGAGACAATTAATTTATTGACTGGTCAATAATTAAATATTGTTTTTTCCAACTTTTCATCACTTGTTTAGAGTAACTGATTAGTCCTTTTATTTTGACAAAATTTCAATTAATTTTACTACCATATCTAGCAGTTTTGTGAGCATTATGTGTAAATGTTTTCTTTGTTATTTTTTTAATTTCCAAAGATACCAAATATTTTTTTAATGTTTGATATTTGTATGATGTCTCATCCAATTTGCATCATATAAAATTTATTAAAGCAGGAAACTATGTTTATTCGAATGTGTTTTATACGTAATGTTTAAACGTGCAATCTTCAATTAAAGAGAGATAAATTGTATTTAATTCATTATAATTTTAATGATTATCACAAAAAATAATCAAGTTCGAGTTGTGTTTGAATAATAATTCGTATTTTCACCCAAGGGCATGCAAAATATAATGAAATTAGAATTGATTGTATGCTTGGGAGATTATAATTTAAATTTTAGAAATAAACAATAAGTGCAAGGTGATTTTTGTATATTTATCTAAAAGATATAGATTTACTTAATACTTTAAGGGATTATTTGGTTAAAGGTACGGGTGTACATGACCGGGTTGGTTCAAATTTTTCAAATATCAAGTCAAACTATTTGTGTCCAATTTTTAAATTTATAAACCAAATCAAACTAATAAAACTCATATTATTTTGGGTTTTTCAACCTCAGATTTTTTCGGGTTGGTTCGGGTTTTTCAAATACCAAATCAAATCATTTGTGTCGAATTTTTTATTTTTTAAATCAAATCAAACTAATAAACCTCAATTTTTTTTTTGAGTTTTTAGATTTTTCTGGTAAAGTATTCATACAAACATATAATTAACTTGTGCTCTAAATATTTTTGTAGTCCAACCAAAATACAACTATCTAAGGTGTTTCTTAAAAAAACACAAAATATGAGATGAGTGATGACACTAAAATATTCAATAAAAAATAATAATGAAATCATATAAAATAAATATTGCAAATTGATAAGTCATAATGAAAATGATCATGATTTAAAAGTACTAAATCATGCTAAAATAAGTCTAATAAGTATTAATTACATTATTTACATGATTAAACAGTAAAGAAAAATTAAAATTTTGTTATGTATTTTAAATGTCTAAACCAATGTAAAACTAAAGAACAAATATTTAATATTATTGTCATGCTTAATGTTGAATTGAGCTGATATTAGTGTTGAATTAATTTATTTTGTTAGCATAGTATTGATTTGATTTTGAATTGAGCTTTATTAGAGTTACTAATATCTATGGACTATAACTTTTATTGGACCATTCAAAATTGTAAGTCTCAAAAAACTTGAAAAAATATGTTAGAAGTATGAAAATGTATAAGTAATATTTAGAAATTACATCAAAGTAAATACTTTTATGTATTAAATAAATTTTAAAACTTATATATATAATTTCGGATTGGTTTGGTTTCGGGTTAACTTCTTTTAGTTAAAACCAAACCAACCCAAGTATAGTCAGATTTTTTTTTAATGATAAGTTATCCATGTATAGCATGAGATATACTTTGACGTCA